GAAACTCTCTGCTTCTGTCCAAAGTTCCTGTAACTCATTGGTTCATTTTACACGGGTCGGTTGTTTTTCATACCCTTTGTTGTTGACTTTTGTTCCCATTTTAGTATTATTATTTGATCAAGCCTTTTTCTAAAATTCTCCAGCATAAAATAAAAAAAAGCTGGTTTGATTCTTGCCAATATCATATTGAATCAATATCAGTATCTAACTGGAAATGAAAAAGTTGAACCAGGATACGCACAATTCAAATCACAGATTCGTAACTGTTGTCTGCGTAAAGCTCACATCTCGTGGTCAGCACACTCCAATCAGCTAGCAGTATTCACACTAATATTGCAATAATGTAGCTCTAGTTCGTCAACATGTTATGAAAACCAGGGCTCCCTCCTATAGAAATACACCCATGCCGCTATTCTGTGTAATTAAACTATTTCTTGGATAACTACAACCACCTTAATTCCATAGTATTTGTTTTTCATCAGTTCTATCCCATTCACATGACCAATTTGGGATTCAAAAGGCAAATTCTGCCAAAAAGGGAGTGATTGTCATGTTTGACAGCAAATGCCCAGAGAAACGTCACTTACACAGGTTCATTCACTTTCCCTATAAAGTAGGTTTACTTCTATCAGTTCTTCATTTATACTTTAGCAACACTATACTATGACTGAACACTGCTTTAAGGGCATGCCCAAACAGAACATCAGTGTGAACAAAACAAGAGGCAGAGAACACTTAAAGGCACCTAGCATGGTTTATTCTGCAATTTAGAATAAACCATGCGATATTGTGATTAAAAAAAAAAAAAAAAAACATTAAGAGATTGCCTATAAAAAGTATGGCATCTTATGTTTGGAGAAAAAAAAAGAAACAAATGTTTTAAATGGCAGGCAGAAAAACCCCAAAGGAACATTTTACAAAAATGTTTAGCTTGGCTATATTTATACACCATTTTTTTTTTTTTTTGTTCCCAACCACTTCTATAGGAGTCATTGATATTTTGTGGGATAGACCAAGTAGCACAGAAAAAAAAAAAAATCTTTGTATTATTTTCTATCAGACATCTGTCTCATTTAACATCAAACTTGAAGTGCTGACACAAACTTTAACAAGGCTTGGTCATTCTAACACATCAATCTAGATCCTTTAAAGGTCAAGTTGGCTGCATGTTTACGGTGATAGTCCCACTGGAAAGAGAACCACTATGCAAGGCAACCCTTGTCTAACCTTTATAGCTTCTGGCAAAATATTCTCCGGGAATTGTTTTGTATTTAGCCCCGCCCACCTTCCCAACAACTCTGAAGAAAATCATGCCTGAAGCATGATGCTCCAGCTGCTATGTTTTATCATGGAAATGCCAAATTCAGAGTGATCAGCACTGAAAAAGAATGTATAATAATGCCAATACTTTAAAATCATGTGCTAGAAATCTTAATTAAAAAAATTTGTCGATACATTTAAGACATATGAACCGTTTTAAATGGCACAAAAAAGTTAGATTGACATCTAAGGAGTATTTTTGAGTGCCGCAGCTGAAGTTTCATTCTGTTTTTTAAGTGGATGCAAAAGCAAACACACTCATTAGACTGACATAAAAGAAAAAGGGCGCTATGCATACCTTAACTGAACTTGAACAGCAAAGTCACATTTGGTCCCAGAGATGTCCCTTAAAAAAACATGATTCAACAGTTAATTACACAACATAATAACTAAAACATACATTAAAAGACAGCAATTTTATAAAGTGAAATAGGGTGTCATTATTTACTCTGTTTGCTTTTATTTTTAACAGCAGCTTTCTTACTTACATCGAACTGCTGATCTGTTGAACTTGCTGTGGTGTTAATGCAAAGGCATAACATGCTTCCTGGAACCTCTGACTATTGTCTGAAACTTAAAGAAAAAAGAAAGCAAAAGCATAAAGTCAGATGAGAACCTACAGAGAGTATATTGTGTACTTCCCTCAAAAGCCATTTTTCAGATGCACCTATGAGCTTAAAACTTGACTGTATGCTCAAACAGGAGGATTGTTATAACTGTAAACACAGCTGAGAGGCTAGTTGTAGGCTTACCCAGGCTCGTTGGCTTAATGAGCTCATCCAGAACGTCATAGAATGGCAATCTCTGAAGCTTGACGTCAGGGTGCACAGGGTGCAGCGCGGAGGAGAGGTGAGGCAGACTCAGCTCATGCTTAGGTCCAAGAAGAGAAACAGGCAGCAGTGGTGAAGGAGAGCTGTGGCCATCAAATCCTAGCTGAGCGAGGCCAGATGGTAAACTGGATGCAGAATGAACGACAGGAAGAGCTAGGTCCACTGGCGAAACCATTTTGGTTGGGAACCGCCGTCTGTAGAGTTCTTTGATCTTCATCTGCACAGCAGGACTACAGCCAGCCTTGAGTAGGTGGAGAGCTTTGGTCAAAAGTTCATGTTTGCGCCCATGCTTATTCCGTCCTGCATAGCCCAACAACACCTGGAGCTCAGAAACTCGAAGGCTCATTACCATTTGCTGTTAAAAAATGAAGAGTGAGGAAAGAGGGTCTATAAAAACTGGGAATATGCAGTTTTCTAATCCACTCTGCATAAAGAAAAGATTCAATGTTCTTTTTGATTTCTTGCTTCCAAAGACTACCACTGTACTACATTTTACTACCCATTAAATCCCCAAATGTTTTACTTTCTTACAAACTGTTTGCTTTGTACAGACAAAAATCTGTCAACCAACAGCATCAAATATCGAACACCTTTTTAATTAAGGGACATTGACTTTTGTATTTAATCACATCACATGTACAAGTAGAAAATCTCAAATTTTCTTAATTAACAAGAGAATTTAAAACTACGAATTTTGACAAAAAAAAATAAAAAATAGCCAATTAGCCCTAATAGAAACTGGAAATGGTATCGACCAAGAAAAGCATGTTTGGTATGCCTAAAAAATAATTAGATCAAGGCTTTACCTCAACACAAGTTTGTTTGTTCAATTATTTAGTCTATAAAAAAAATAATCGTAACAAACCTAGATAATCTGTGCATAATTCCTACTCTTAATACACACCTTTGTGCTTAAATCTCTCAAATTGAAGAATGAGTTCAGTTAAGTTATACAACACTATTGGAAGAATATAATACTGCAGGCTATAGATACATGCATTTATAGACAAAAATAGTCAGTCCTTAGTTTTGATGCATGTTTTTTTTTACTATCCATATATTTGATTTGCTGATCGCCACTCAGTGCTGATTATGGGCAAATGAGCCTACTCTACTATAGATGGTAAGTGTGAAATACTTTATCCTATAGGGAAGCACATCTAAATGTCAACACTCCAATAATGCCTTCAACTCACCCTAAAAACGGTTCTCCCTTCCTAAGGTTGCTAAACCGTTACATTTCAAAAATAGCTCTGTGCTAAAAAAGCAGTGGTATTAGTGCACATATTTGATTGCATTCATAACAATACAAAACAATACTTTAAAAATGTATACGAAAGGTACTGTCTTTTGATCTGCTAAACTATATATAGAAGGAATGGAGAGGAAGATAACAAATGTAGTTAGCTACCCTAGCTACCACCAGCTATGTGATCCAAGTGCTATTTGCATAAAAATGGACAAAGGATTTAATTTGTACTTTATCTCGAACTATAAAAACCAACAAGAGTCACAATATCACCAGATCTTGCATTAAAGCCTGACAGATTTTAATCAAAATATAGCAATAATTCAAGTTGACATGCGCTTCTATTCCAGGGAATAGCCATAGCCCATTTTTCTACAGACACCCGTTCACACAATCGTGTAAAAAACAAGGATAGCTATCTGACCCCGCTGTGCTGATCAATTTAATGCATTGAAAAACTTCAAGGTTTCATCAATAATCAGATCTATTTATTATATTGTGAGCAGGTGAACTCCAGGGGCAGTCTAACGGGAACATCGGCAACAATAACAAAGCTAATGCTATCGAACTAGCCTGGAGCTAACGCTATTCTGGTTTCTTCTGCTCAGCTGTTTATTCGTCATATACTTTCGTAAAAATTCCACTCAGGTGTCTACCGCCGAATATCCGGATTGTTGTGGCGTCAGTGTTAAAGTTTCGGTGATTGTAACATATACTTGTCAAGCTAATGTACAGAGCAGGTTTACCTTCAGTTCCGCACTCTCCGCCATCTCGTTACATTGGGTGCGCATGCGCAACTCAGCTTCCCTCAAGGGACTCAATGCTGTTCTGCACATTCCCCAACAGATGGCGCTGTTGCAACGTTTTTATCATTTGCATCATTTCTAAACTTGATGGATTAAAACGGACACTGGCCACTAAAGTAATTTTAAATTAAAAGGATTATGTTAGTCCACGTCATGCACTAATGGAATACATAAATTGATCGATTTGAGTAGCAACCTTACAATAGACTTCAAACAGAATCAATAATCCAATGAAACCATACAAATAATCAGTGCACATATTAGCCCTAAGCAGTTATTTTCCAAGGGATAACTAAGATTTTGCAAGTTATCAAGATGAAAAACTAAAAAGCAGAGTAACCGTTTATACATCGACTAAATATCTTTTTAAGAGAGTGTAAAACATATCTGAAACTGCAATTCAACAATACATCAACAATAATTTTGGTGTCAACTTATGTAGTGTTTGCGCAAAATCATATTCATAGGCGAAATTTAGAAATAAAAAAATGAAATCAATAAACACATAAACCAAAAGCACAGCAATATTTGTTTCAATAAAATTATTTATTTTTCAGCAATGGGAACAAATGTTACAGTGACAAATAAGCTTCTCTTATTATATCATTATATGGACGCAGATGCACAAGTTTTGTCCACTGATTTTTTTTAACCCATTAGAAACAAATACAACAACTAAACAGAGTATTTTTTGCTGAAAAGTAATTTAAAGTGCATTAAATCCAATGTTTGTGACTGATCTTAACTGGCAAATAAAGGAACCAAAGGCTTATTTATAATAGAGGAGAAATGGAGCTTGGAACAAAAATAATGACAGGTAAAAACAAAACATAAATAATCCAATATAGGACAACTACTGTCATTGCACTTTGCCACAAAACGGAAACGAGAGGTGATGGCATAATTTCAGTAAAACAATCTACAGCCTATTCAGGATGGTGTCATAAATACTGGGGTGGTAATACACATTTTTCAAATGTTACATATAATTACAGGTTGTTCTTTTTTAAGTTTGATAAATCAGCAAAACAAACTGAGGTTTATTTATTTTTTCATGTATTTCTCCAAGCACAGATGCTTGACAAGAGCTGCAAATGGGTCCCTTTTACCAGTCTTCTGACCTACAAACATGTCCGACACTCAAGGTGGCAGTAGAGGAGATTTGAATGTGCAGGATCCTGTGCAGTGCCGAGGAGTTAACATCTTACAGGAGAAATGGTGTAATGCGTCGTGAGCTTCTAGAGGGAGAAAACCAAATCAATAGTGTACAAGCAAACGGGGTGCGCTCTTGAAAAATACGCCCACATCTTTAGGTGTATAGCTACAGATCAACCAGGCAAATCAATAAGTGGTTTCTTCTAGATATAAACAAAAATCTTAAAATTTAAATATATTTCTGCAAGTGGAAAGAAACTTGTGTGGATGTATCATCTTTTGCTTTATTGCTCTCACCTCTAACGATGTGAAGCTGCTGGACCATTTCCTCTCTGTAGGAAAGCTCTCGTTTCATTTGATCTTGAAAATTATCTGAGAAACAGGAGTCAATATTAAATCTTATTTCCAAGAGAAAGAAAGAAAGAAAGAAAGAAAGAAAGAAAGAAAGAAAGAAAGAAAGAAAGAAAGAAAGAAAGAAAGAAAGAAAGAAAGAAAGAAAGAAAGAAAGAAAGAAAGAAAGAAAGAAAGAAAGAAAGAAAGAAAGAAAGAAAGAAAACAATAAAAAACAACGATAGTTAATAGGATGCATTCTTTATTCATTTTTTAAAGTCTGAATTTTTAAGTTGAAAAAATTGCGCACTGAGGGAAGTCATAAGGAAGATTCTATCGACCAGGTTGGAACCATAGAGAACCATTCATTTTTACACTGCTTAACTGCCTCTAGGGGGCACTGTTCTCAAGCTGAAGCCGCAGAAAGTGCTTCAATCTTGCTCAAAGTCACATTAACGCGGTGGCGTTAAAGCAATTGCGTGTTTATTTGAGCAAGTTTTGCAATGTATCGGTCAGAAATAAAACTTATAAAATATGTTTTCATTTACATATGTATTATTAAAAACACATTTGTTGTTTGTTTGCCTAGTTAGAAATTACACAGAAACAGTGTTCTAATATTTAAAAATAATAGTAAATCTGAAAACATATCAAATTCTCATCTGCAGTCATCTTGCAAATTTGTTGTGGCAGAGTTGATGTTGTTTTTTGCATTAGGCCTACTTTTTGCAGATAAATATAATTTTGTCTCAGTTTACTTGTATCAACAACTATTTTTTAAACTGTTTTTAACGTGAAGTGAATTGTTTATTACAAAGAATATTTTATGTCCAAATAACAGAGAATGAATAATCCCATCAATTTAGTGAATCTGTTTGAAGCCTTTAGACGTTTTGATATAGTGTAACTCCGATTTACAGATTTTAACACGATTTTAAAATAATTCTCCAGGAACAATCTTTATTTCATGTGTTTCAAGAGGTCTGAGGAAACATCAAATAACAAATTAGCCTACTCATATTTCTTTTTTGTTTATTGTTGTTGATTTTAAAAAGTGTAATAATCCAAAGACTGTTTTCATACAATAAAATAACAGACTTTTCATTCCTAAATGTCTGAAAGTCCGTTTTTGTTATTTGCAGAAAAGACAATTAAATAGCCTTTAATAATAATAATAAAAAAATCACATGAGGAAAAATACACAGCTATTTTTATTTTAAAGTAATTAAAGTTATGATTTTCTAGATTTTTACCCGAGCTATGTGAGGACAAAAGAGCTTTGATAGTTTGAGCACCAATGTGGAAATAAGGCATACTAGCAGATTTTTATTGTGTAAACAATTTCATCAATACAATTTTGACTCTATATGAAATATAAATGACACCCTTAAAATAAAAGGTAAAATAATAAGATTTGTAGATTTGCTTCACTGTAAATAAAATCCGAGGCACCGCTTTTGTCAGAGGGCTTGCAATAAGCAATACACTGCTCTCAAACAGTGGTGATAAAAATCCAACACTGCTTTAAAAATTCTTACCTTTTAGGTTCTGAAATTCGCGCTCTAGCTTTTTCCTCAGCTCGACTTGTTCCAACAGCTGCTTCTGCAGCTCCTCTAAAAAAGCAGGCAAAAGAGGGAGCATTAGTGGAGGAGCAGAGAAACAGGCGCTGGGAGCCTTTTTTACCTCGCATCTAGGACAACTTTCTATTTTTAATCACAACGATGATGATGATTTCATTACTGGAATAAGAATTCAGAGCAAAGCTCACTGAGTCTAATCTCAGTCTAAAAATAAAGAGATAGAAAATGAAACCTCTCCCAGGGATTTTAGTGTAAAAGTTATGAGAAATAAAGAAACTTGGCAAATGCAAGGATCGTTAGAGGTGTGTGTATATATATATATATATATATAAAATTGCTGAGAATAATTATTATTACACAACAACAGTGATACTTCTATAATTATTGCCTTACCTTTTGCTAAACTTTGGAACTCTCTCTGTATTGGTACATCTCTGGCTGCCATGTCATCACCTATATTCACACAAATTAGGTTTATAAATTTTTATTGGAAAAAGTACAAAATTGTGCATTGAAACAAAGCTGTAAGCAAATAAAAAATAATAATAATAAACAAACTTTTGGAGCTTACCCTCATCTGGGTCTCGGTGGCTCTCCTCGCTGCTTTGTCCATTAAAAGATTTCGTTTCAATTTCTTCCACTGTTGAAGACGGCTCTTCTTTACTTGTGCTTTCATCTTGAGAAAAGAAATCAAATAAAATTAAGAAAAAAAATGCTCTTTTGCTTTTTGTGAAATATATATATATATATATATATATATATATATATATATAT